GCGGGGCATTGCATATAGCAACAAACATGGTTAACCCGTGTACCTCCTTGATTGAAAAGCTAATGAGCACTACTTTTGTCTCTATCAGCTACATAAGTCATTTTTTTTCCATTATGTTCTATTGAGTTTATATTTTTATTTAGTTCTAATAGGTTAAGATAATTTTTTATACAACATGCCCAAGCTTTTTTAGATCTATATCTACCTTTCTTAATATAAGATAATTATAAAATATATACTCTCATAATTGGATCATCAGATGATCAACGTTTAATGTGACCAAACCCTCTGAGGCAATTCACTGAATCTTGTTTGTCACTAAAGCTACTCCAACCCCTTCATGAATATGTTTGTTTCACATTTCTCTAACTGTAAAGCCACTATTCTACTTGAGCAATCTCATCTCAACAACACTTAATTTAATTTTATGCTTCTCTTTAATAGGCTAATATTCTGTGCCATAAGACTTTTCAAGTCTCACCACCTTATTATAAAATTTTCCTTCAAATCTATGCGGTACTTTAGTATCGCACAATAGACCTGATGCATTCCTTTACTTAAACCATCCAATTTAAATTCTACTGATAACATATCCATCTATATCACCATCACTTTGAACAATGGGCCTGAGATATCTAAAACATTCACTCCTTTTAATGACTTGATCAACTATGATTACAACCCCCGCTTGTAGATCTACTACTATTAAAATTACATTCAATATATTCAATTTTAGATCTATTCAAAATGATCTCAAATTTGAATGTAATAATGGTTGATGGTAGTTGATTGTGATGAATAAAGAAATTGTTTTTGGGATACTTCTTATTTTTAAATTGAATTATAGAGCTCTGTGAAGTGTATAAAATGAGATGAAAACTGTGAGTAATTCAATTTCAGGCACACGTCATCATTTTTTTTGTGTAAAATCTATTGCAGAGATCAATCTTTTTAATCTATTATATGTCTTTACTTTACAATTGACTTGTTATCTATATTGGTATATATTTACTTCGCAGCTTTTTGTATGCCTTCGGATATTGATGCGCAAGTGTGTCTATGAAAATATCTGTAAAGATGAGATTCACAAATTGTTTCCTGAAGAGGTGCTTCCAGAGTTGCGGAGGTGCCTTACCTTGCTTTTGCAAAAGTTTCAGCAAGGGTGGAGAGAAGAGGCTCACAAGGATAAGGTTAGATTGTAATTGCTTAAGGAGTACTTTTTGTTTTCACTTTATAGTATTTCTCCGTATAAATCTGAGAGAATAACATATAATGAAATGCAAATTCTTGACTTAGCCAATGATGTAGGTTTCACTACCTGTGCTATTGTTAATTGTTGTATTACTTTGGCCTAACAAGCCGCCTCATTATTTTGTCCTCTCAAGAATATCACCCATCATTGTATTACTTTGGCCTAACAAGCCGCCTCATTATTTTATCCTCTTGGTGCAACTTCTCGAGAATATCACCCATCATCGGAGTGATAAGTACAAACAAGCTTAATTTTGGAGTTTCTAATGAAAACCAATTGTTGCCAATAAGTGCCTAAATATTTAAGAGTTCGAACAATGTTCAAAACAATGCAATAAAGTGCATTCCTTGTGGTGCTCCTCAGAGAGGTGTATGCACAACGTCATGAAGCTATACCCTCACACAAGGAAAAAGAGGCGCATGCATCAAATATTTTTGGGGATGCGGTAAGGTGCGTTGTTTTGTTTTTAAAAAGGCATGTACATCTTTTTTTATTTTTTGTTTTTTTGGTTTGAAAAGGCGCATATATCCTTTTTTTATTTTTTATTCTTGAGTTTTTGGTTTGAAAAACAAAATAATGTCCCAAAACCCAAATTGGCCAAGTGGATTGTTTATTAGAAAAAAAGGAAACTTATTTGTGCTCTTCAAAATGTTGTCAATTAAACTTTAGGTACTAAAAATCACCAACTTGTTCACTTTTACATAGAGAATTATTTTAAATTATTAGATCGAGTTAAGGAAATTGAAAAGCATCATATGCCCAAGTTGGCACTGACAATACAAGTGCATACATGGCAATACAAATAAATTTTTAGAAAAAAATATTTTTATTGGATTTCATGTGCCATGTATTGTATTGATTTAACATTTAAAAAATTTGGGGAGTTGCACAACATAAAAATGATCTAACTTAATGAAAGAAGATGAACAAGTTTCTTTGTAATTATAATCGAATTTTAACCTTAATGATTTTTTTTTTAAATAACTTGTTAAACCTGAGAAACTGTTGCATTTTCCATGATGTACTCAACATTTATGTTCACTTTTACATAGTTGTTAAGTTATAAATGGGCAAAAAGATAAAATGTAAAGATGTGAGAAATATTATTTTAAATGAGTTCTTAGTTGCATGTTATTCTATCATAACTATAAAGCTCTTAGTTTGTGTTTTGAGAATGGTGATGCAGTGAAAAAATCAATGGCTTTCATTTACAATGTCATTGTGAGGCAAAAGTAGTTGATAGTAAGAGGCTTAGCTGGAGATGATGGGAACTTTAATTATAAAAGAGGAATGGGAGCTTCAATTACACTGATATTTGCATGTGATCTTATATTATCAAAACCCTTAATATTAATATGATGAGAAGAAATTCACCAATCTAGAGATTAAAAGTTTGTGCTATTTTATAGATAGAATAATTGTTAATTCAATGGAGAGAGGAAAGGCTAATATCCAACTTGTATTTTATATAGTTTAAAAACAAGGATTATTTTGGTTAAGCTAAAGTCACTATAGCCAAGCATTTTTTATAGATACTGCAACCCGGGCCGGCTAAAGTCATTATATTTATGTATGCATGGTGTTTTGATTTGTCTTAGTTTAGTATTTAAAATTTGTATACATGGTGTTTTTCTTAAATTTGGTGAGCAGTGGATTCAATTTGGAGATGATACTCCCAAATTACAATGATTTGTGATCAAATTATTAGGTCTCACACAATGCAATGATTTGTGATCAAATTATTAGGTCTCACACAAAGTTTAAAAAGGTGAAATCGGTAATTGAGGCAAGTGAAATCGGGAATTGAGGCATTTTGCTCTAGTGAGGTGAGGCATAAGCCTAGAGGTGGATCAATATATAAGCCTAAAAAAGAATAAAAACTCATAAAATTAAAATAATTCACAAACATGATATAAACCATTAATATGTTCATTTAGTTTATATCATAAAAACATAACTATAAATCATAATTTTAAATATTAATATGAAATAGAAATTTGAAATGTGGCTATAGTTAAACATTCATTTAAAATTTAAATATTTAATGAGGTTCATGATTCATGACAGACTCATTCTTATTTTAATCATATTTATATTTATTTAATTATGTCCCATTTGTAACTTTAAAATGTTCTTATTCACTACAATCTTTTTTTACTATTGATTAATGTTTAATATGTTTTAGTCTTTTACTTTAATACCATAGCTTATTTTGATAGTTGGTTGTTGTGTAAACCCTTTTTATTACATGATTTGATATTAGGATGTTAGTACGTCACTTCTTATTTTGCGCAGTTTGTTACTTTTACTTTGTTAGCATATTGATATTTTACTTTTTTATGTGTTTGTATATTAAGATGTTAATATGTTATTTCTTATTTCACACTTTGAGTTTAGACAACACTATTTTCTTCATGCAATTTTGGAGCAAAATGTCTCAAAATGTCTTAAAGCTCATGTCTCGCCTCATGTACGTAAACACTTCAATATCCTGTTGCATATTTCTAAACCTTGAGACATAGATCACTTCATCAGAAAAGAGGAGAGCAGGCTTGCATTGAAAAGATGAAGGTTATTTATGTTGTTGGGTTACTAAATTCTGATTAAAGAAAGTGGAGAATTGATGTGTGGTGATGGGAAGACTAATATTACATTTGAACCTCAAACCATACTTGAAAAGAGCATAATGGTTAAAATGGAAGATGCTCAACCATTAAATAGGGTAGAAGAGAAGCCTCAGAAACATTTTTAGGGTCACAAGGGGGCGAGATGGCAACCTCATATGGGGTTCCACCATGGCCCAAGTAGAGTTCATTATAGTAAGTGGGGTTTGAAGTGGCTTTGATGATCAAGTGATGTCGAAGAGCCGCTGAAAATGATAAATGTAATAGATTGAACATGACTGAATTTGAGAAAAAAAGAGAAAAATTCTATATTGGTGAGAAAACAAAGGGCAGATTGATGAGTGCTGCTTAGTTATCATTAAGATTGAGAGTGAACAAGATGTCAATGCTATGCATTTGCATTGACTTCAAACGCAATCCATATTCGACAACTAGACGCAAAGCCAAGTGGTTACTAGAAGAAGGAATGAAGGAGGATACAGTAAGAGTCACACCTGCTAAAAACCTGACATGTCTTCTCTAACAATGGAAGAACTTGAGTTCTAGCTGCGAGAACATCGGGGATCATTCTTTGTGCAATTATTTTTGTTGATACATGTGATCGTCTGCACATGATCGCGTTCATGCAACCCTTGCTCCTTAGTTGCCTCCACTCATCTGAAGCACTTGATAATAACATAATATAATACTATGGTGAGCCTAAATACTTCCAACCAAGGGTTCTCATCTTTTTAAGATTGAAGCCTTTGAGTGCATGGATGAACCAGGGAATGCTCACAACAAATTAGGGCTACCCTCTTATTTTGGAAGAACTAGTTAATATTGACTTATTGCTTTTGAACCCACCAAGCCAGGGATATTTGAGGATTTGAAATGAAAATGATCTCCAGTGCTTCTTTTCATGAAATGAAAGAAGCACTCATTGTGATTCATATTTTGTCTCAACTAAAATTCACCATCTAACGTTATATTTATACCTACTTATAAATGAAGACTGAGGAGCTCAAGTTTGGCTCAGAGAAATAGCTGTGGCAACAAATTAATAAATTCATAGAAAAGTGAAATTGTCCTTCATTCTTTTTAAGTCCTCAATATTTTTTAAAATTCATATGGCTGAAGTTTGATTGAGCCCTTTATTTGCTTAGATTCGATAATCTGGAATTTTGTTTCTGTTGGGTGGTCTAAACCATAGGCCATATGGACCCCATATGTTCAATTTGTGGAAATTATTGGAGGAGTTTCTTATTTCAACTTTATTCTTTTTTATTCTTTTCTTGTTATGTTATATGTCTTTCCTTCTTTGTTTAACGGGCTTAATTCTTTTTGCCCTAACCAATACCTCTATGATAAGAGAAATATTGTAACTTGAATACGATGGAATAAGAGAATATAGTTCTCCACTTTTCTTTTGTGTATCAAAGCTCCAGGCTCGGTTTGGTTGGGATAACGACACATTTCATTGTCCAACTTTGACTGAATTGCTCATATGCATCATTTGTCTCGATGGTCGCTATTGAATGCTTCAACTGAATCAACATCATCTTCTACACTCATCGTTCAAATTGGTCTTTCAAATCGTTTGTTTGTCTGCTCTGTATGCGTCATTTGCATATAATCGTCTGAATTGCTCGTCTACTCCGTCTGACCACACCGTTCGAAGCTTCCACAATAACAATCTGTTCATTGAATGTCCTCATCGACTTTGACTTTGAAGCCCGCCTCACCGATAATTGTTTCTATTTTCTTATTGTTCAGTTCCTGACGATGATGATCCGATTGTCGAACTTCCTCGATTTCGACTTCAAAGCTTCCACAACATCATTCGAAGCGTCCTTTTGTTGCATCTCGTCGTCTCTGTCGATCAGAGCGAGGAAACAAATTTAGCTCTTCTTTAGCTTGTACGCCCTTTTCTGCTCGGTCTTATGCCGCCAGAGCCTCTCCAACAGTTGTCCAACAGCCAAAATCCTCCTTGTAAGTGCTGGAATCTCTCTAGCCGGCCTATCGATCTATCTCTGGTTCTTATCATAGCCGCTGAACTTCCTGCAGCAAGCAACAACCTACTCCCTTATCCAACCCTAAACTTGCATAAGGTTTATGACCAAGTACGGATGAGGTCGTCTTATTCTACTCCATATGTTAGTTCTGCTTATGATACTAGAAATTCTGTCCAAACATCTGTTGAATTCTCTTCCTTTATCACAAATCATAAACATAATGGCCATAACTTCCTTCAATAGTCTCAATCCGTGTTTGTGTACATTTGTGGAAAATGAAAAGAGGGTAATCTCAAGGGAGAGGACACCGTTTCTGAACTCATTGATCCTAATCATCGCTCAAGGAAGGTCTATGATCATATGGTCATATCTTAGTAGATCAAGTCTATGACCATATAATTTGGATAATTCTTTGAGATTGAGATAAAATTGCATAAGCTCCGACAAGAAGATTTGAGTGTTACTCAATACTTCACACTATTGTGGTATTGGATACAATTAAATATGTATGTTACATATGTATGGAAGTTTCCGCAAGATGCTATAAAGTATAAAGTTATAGTGGAGAAGAAGAGGATTAAGTTCTTATTTGGTCTAAATAAATCTTAGATTAGGTCAAACGAAGATTCATGGGATGAAGCGTCTCCCTGCCACTTGGGAAGCCTTTACTGAAGTTAGAAGAGAAGAAAGTAGGAAGAAGCTCATGATGGCAAGAAGTGTGAGTTAATATAATACTGAAAGCTCAACTTTGTATATTCACAACTCCCACGATTCAACGCCACCGAGTGCTGGAAACTACACGAAAAACTTATAGATTTAAAATCTGAAGGGTTGGTT